CTGGAGGAAAAAAAAGTTCTGATTAGGTGGACTCTGTCACACCTAGCAAGCCTGCTGGGCTGACAGGAGAGCTGCCCTAATGCTGGGAGATGGGTTTCCAGAACAATTTAGAGGAGAGTGAAGAGATCCGGCTCGACTTCATTGTACTTACCTGCTAAAAAGTCTCTGCTGCTTGGAAAATGCAAGAAAGAGAAATCTACCTTTTGAGTTTCTGTACCTCAGTTTTGCTTGTAAAAACATTAACCATGGCCCCACGGAGAGTCACAGGCAAGGGAAGGGAAGATGTTAGGTAGGTGCAGAGCTTTTGCAGAAGTTTGGGGAGCACAGCAACCCCCAACTCCTCAGGTGGGAGGGAAAAGCAAACCTCTGGTGAGCCAAGACTTCTGCCAACTCACAGAGACCGTAGCAGGGAGCAAGGAAGGCGTGGGACTAGAACCAGAACTGCTCTCAAATCCTGGCTCTGTCATTGACCTGCTTGGGCCATTACAGTGGTAGCACCAAAGGGAAGCTTGTAGGGATGTTAGACAGCTGCGACCTCCGTGAGTTCCCAGGCTGCCCCAAGTGATGATAATAATCATCACCGTGATGGACAGTTCCCACACTTATGTCATATGAAAATGTTTTGGTATTTTCTTTATCACAATCTAAGTTAACATGGTGTGCTTTGTATGCAAACACAGCTTCAAGGCAATTCCCTGAGCAGTGCCCCCACCACCCTGTCACCACCGTAAACCTGCCTCTATGTGAATTCTGAGGCCAACACTGGCAAATCTCCATTCTTCTCTAATCCTTAGTTTCCTTCTCTGTTACAACAATAAAGGCTAATATAGCTATTGAGTACTTTGTTTGCCAGGCGCTGAGCCAGATGTTTTTATGTGAATTATCCCATTTAATCCTTACAGCAACAGTATGAAGTAGGTCCTTATCATTCTGCACCTCAGCTTCTCAAAAGATAGAGACAATAATACCTACCTTCTGGGATTGGAGTGGGGCTAAAAACAGAAGATGCATGTGGGGTATCTGGCCCTGGTGATGCTCAATAAATGGCACATTCTAGCAGTTGCAGTGGTTACCATTACAACTGCTGGAGAGGCTGCAGGTGAGGAAGTGGAGCAGGAAGAGGAAGAAGATGAGGAAGATGAAATCACGCCTCCCGGTGGGCAGAGAGCCAGCTTCTACTTAGGCCCTCCCTCAAGTGCTCATCCACAGAGGCTGTCCCTCCTGACCGTAAGACCTGAAATGTTTTGTCAGGGTCACTGTGCATGGTTTTATTTGTCCACACTCGGCTGAAGTAAAGAGGAGGCCTGCACAGATCTATAGAGTAAGTGGGTCTGGCCTTGATGTCCCCAGCCTTGGCTGTCAACATCTTGTTTCTCTCTTGGTGACACCCTCTCCCTTCAGAAGCCCCCTTCCCTAAGCAAGTTACTTACAAGGAGTTAGAGGGAGAGGGAGAAAAAGGAATAATCTGAAGTAGGCCAGGTCTAGGACTCCAGAGAGAGCCACCAGGTCAGGCAACATGGGAATGAGCTATAAAGTCTGAAGGCCAATAATGTGAAGCTGTGTGAAAAGGGACTAAAGGAGTATGTGACTGAAATTGGTAATTGTCCAGCTATATCCACTCTCCCCTTCTTCATTTTAGTAACAGGTTCTTGAAATTTTACCACGCACATGGCCACTCAGCTGAAGACTACATTTCCCAACCTCCCTTAAAGCTAATTTATAGCCACAGGAGTAAGTTCTAGCCAATGAGACGTGAACGGAAATGACATGAACAATTTATAGGACACATCCTTAAAACACAAGCCACATGCCCTTCTCCTTTCCTGCCTTCCAATATGCAGAAACCCAGACCTGGTCCTGGTAAAGCAGCTTCAGCCAGGACGACAACGCAAGCCCATGGGTTGGCAAAACCACATGAAACGCTTCCTGGATCCCCTCACCCTGGGATACTCACATATTTTGTAGTTTTACCTTTAGGATTTTATAAACATCAATATTAATTGTTTGCTGTTTACATTAAAGCAGCATAATTCGTGCTCATTTGCCCATTGTTTAAAATGAGCCTAAAATCCAGGTCCAAGAATGAGAATATTCTGGCTAGAATCCCAGTCAGCATGTTACTAAATCCAGAGAAATCTTGAGGGCTTCTCTGAAGGGACATGGGACTGGTTTTCAGGGTTTCAGGGGAAAGAACATGAAATTCTGAGGCTCAGATGCAATTTCTGGGCTGAGGTGAAAGGGGAGGTGGGTCACTCCCATGAGAAAGGGCAGAGAGACCCTCCCTCATTCTTCTCCAGATTGCTGGGATCAAGTTCAGGCCAATGCAGAGGATTGGCCTGAACTTGATCAGACCAAAGATCCAGTGTGGCAACTGTGGGACAGCTCGTTCCAGGGGAAAACCAAGACCCAGCTTTCTCACCATTGCATCTTGGCTTGCTCACCATCACGTGGCCTGACACAGAAGGGGCTCAATAAATATTGATTTGAATATTGACTGAATGAACAATGAGAATCATACATTTTGAGCTCTTCAAAACAAGAACAGTTCTGGCAGTAAACACCAAGAGTTGGACACTCTAAAGGAAAGACAAGGGTTGGCTCTGCTTGGCCAGGTTGTTCATGGAACATCCCTCTGAAAACCAAGGGACTGCAAAGGCCCTTTAAAACACAGGCCTCTCTCTCTGGGCATCCCTGGGCCACTTCCCAAACTTCAGCAAACGGAGTTGGAGGACTTCAGAAAGCCCGTGGCTTTGGAAAAACTGACTTAGGAAGATTGGCTAAATGAAACTGCCTTCTCTTATCCTTCATTCATTCACTCAACAAAACTTTGAGAATGCACTATATGCCAGTACCCAGCCAAGCCTCTGGTGTTAAAGAGATTATAGAGTCCAACTTTCTCGCCATCCTGAATGAGTTTATGTACTGTCCCACGCTGTTCTCATAATCACAGCCTCTGTCTCCTAGCCTTCACCTCAAAGATTGAGTGGGCCATGGAGAGCACAGCCAGGATGCAACAGCTAGGAGCTACTTGAGGATAGAAGCAGAGACGCAGTAATAACACCATCAGGGATAGAATGAAAATGGATTTCCCCCTGATGGAATTGTCCTCAACTACAAACCAACCTTGCCCCTTAGGCCTCTACTCCCCTCCTTCCCATCTGCTGAAGGATGAGTGGGGCGGCCCTTACTCTGAGGTGGCACCGTTCAGAGTCCAGGCTGCTGCAAGGCCCTGCACATGCTGCTGCCTGGAAAGTGGATACAGAGATCAGATCAGAAGGCTTTCCTGGCCAGAGCCTGGACACAGGTGCTCATACTACCCACTGCCATTTGGAGTGCAGTGATTGTTGTCCCCCAAAACCCCCTTGACCTTGGGCAGATTGGAACTGGGTAGTGAGTGGCCTAGGGACCTGGGAAGGGGAAAGACTGGAGGGCAGGGAAACCAGCCCTGTGCCTGGGGGTTGGGAGAGGAGTGACAGAAGGAGTAGGAATGGGAAACCCTACCTGTTAGGGAATTGGGTCTGAAAGCTTTTTATCAGAAAACCAGTGTGAATGACAATGATGACAGTGACCATGAGCAGGACCATGACCATGAGCCGGGCCATGCGTGGTAGCAGGAGAAAGTGATTGTAATCCATCCCTCAGAGAGCCAGCAATGAGGAAAGATGAACTAAAACCCTCACTGGTTGTTTAAAGAAAATATGGATTTAGTTCTTGTTGGAGAAGCTGCTTATTTGTGGCTGACTTCATATCTGCAAAAATTAGAATGCATTTTAAAAAAAACACATCAGGCTCTTGCAAAACAAAAAATTTTGAACTCATTTGAGACTTGCAGAAGAGTTGCAAAAATAGTACAAAGAGTTCCCTACATCCGTCATCCCATTCCTTTAATGATAACATCTTACATGACCACAGAATAATGATCAAGAATAAGCTCACAGTGATACAGTATTACTCACTAAGCCACAGGCCTTATTTGAATTCCACTACTTTTTCTGCTAATGTCCTTTTTCTGTTCCATAATCCTAACCAGGACCCCACATTACATTTAGTTGTCATGTCTTCACCCACTCCAATCTGTAACAATTCCTCAGTCTTTCATGAACTTGACACTTTTCTGAAGAGTACTGGTCAATTCTCATGTAGACTATCTCTTCATTTTGTAGAGTGTTTTCTTATGATTGGAATCACGTTATGCATTTTTGGCAAGAATGCCACAAAATTGATATCACATTCTCATCACAACAAAGGGTTGGTAATGTTGATGTGCCATTGCTGAAGAGGTTTACATTGATCACTTGGTTAAGTTGGTGTCTGCTGAGTTCTCCACTGTAAACCTATTTTTCCATTTGTAGTTGGTAAGTAGTTTGGGTGCAATATTTAGATTTTTTAAAATTCACTGTTTTCTATTGATCATCCCTCTCAACTTCTGCAAGCCAACTGTAATATTCTGGTTGGCTTGAGGACAGCTCCCTGAGCCCAGACTGCCTTGAGGTTAAAGGTTTTAGCAGTGCCCAATAAACATTCAATGGGTATAGGTGGAAAGTTCCATATGACATATAACTATCAAATGCAATGTGCAAGCCTTGTCCGGATCTTGATTCAAACAAACCAATTATAAAAAGACATTAATAGCAAATTTTATTATAGATTGGATATTGAATGATCCTAAGAAATTGTCATTTTTGTTAGTGTGATCATGGCACTATGATTATGTTGAAAACATCTTTTTCTCATAGAAATACATAGTGAAGTGTTGATAGTAAAAGTGATATGATAACAGCAATTTGTTTAAAATAAGCCAGAAAAAAACATATGCAGAGACACATGACGTGAGAGCGGTGAACGTCGATCATGATGGAGGCAGATAATTGGCACGTGGCATTCCATGACATATTTCTAATTCTGTGTATTTTTTTAATTCCCAAAGTAAAAAGTAAAGGTTTCGCTATGTTAAAAAGTGATTTATCTCAGTTCATCTGCCTCAGAAAATGCCACACTCATATATTAGTATAATTTTATTCTACATTCTATGAAAACTGGATGCTTCCCATACTACATCAAAAGCAAGAAAATGACCCCCTCAGGATCTGGATGGTTGCTTGCTTTGGGTTCCCAACCCAGATGACACTCCTCTCTCAGTGGCTTTTTCTCAGGGCACTTCCCTCTTGAGCAACTTTCTTCTCAGGTCAACTATTCACTGAAATGGAAATGTAATGAATCACTGGAAAGTATTCACATATTTTTTTCCTAGTATTTCAAACTGTAACATCATACTCTATATGTCTGTACCTTTCTCTCTACTTCTCTCATCCTTGTCTTCAGTAAGTATCCACTTTTCTTGATGCTAACTCCTTTCTTTTTCACTTGTTTTTTTTTAATAGACAGAAGGTCTTGCTCTGTTGCCCAGGCTGGAGTGCAGTGGCACCATCATAGCTCCCTGCAGTCTCAATCTACTGGGCTCAAGTGATCCTCCCACCTCAGCCTCCTGAGTAGCTAAGACTGCAGGCATGCGCCACCACACCCAGCAAATTTTTTTTCTGTATAGACAGTACCTCCTACATTGCCCAGGCTGGTCTCAAACTCCTGGGCTCAAGGAATCCTCTCACCTCAGCTTCCCAAATTGCTAGGATTGCAGGCATGAGCCACTATGAACATCCGCCAACTCCTTTAATTAATATGAATATTTGGAGAGAGAGATCCAAGATGGCTGATCACTAGCAGCTCGGGATTGCAGCTCCCACTGAAAGAGCAGAGAACGAGAGGATGCCACACTTTCAGATCAATTTTTGTTGCTCACACACCAGGAGATTCCCAGCGGAGGAGCCCCACGTGTCGCCGGCGTGACTCTTGAGGCTGGTGAGGTGGTTTTGCCGCTGCCTTGGTGTGGGGGTTCTTGGTGCAGAGTCAGAAAAGCACCATCAATCTTAAAGCCGCTGTTTTGGCCGGAGCAGTGGGTTGCTCAGATTCTAGCGCTGGGAATCAACAAGTTGGACGTCCATTCAGAAACCCAACTATAAAGACGGTAATTATAAAGACCACAGATGGATAAATTTGTAATGAAGGGAAGAAACCAGCCTAAAAAGGCTGAGAATACCCAAAATCAGAATGCCTCTCCCTCTACAGGGGATCACAGTTCCTCATCAGAAACAGAACAAGGCCTGATGGAGAAAGACCGTGTTCCATTAGCAGAAGCTGGCTTTAAAAAGTGGATGATAAGAAACTTTTGGGAATTAAAAGAACTTGTTCTAACCCAATGCAAAGAAACCAAGAACTTTGAAAAAAGGTTTGAAGAAATGTTAACAATAACACACAATTTAGAGAGGAATATAAGTGAATTAATGGAGCTGAAAAATACAACACGAGAATTTCACGAACTATGCACAAGTTTTAACAGACGAATTGATTATGCAGAAGAAAAGATATCAGAGGTCGAAGACCAACTTTATGAAATAAAACAAAAGGACAAGATTAGAGAAAAAAGGATAAAAAAGAATGAGCAAAGTCTCCAAGAAATATGGGACTATGTGAAAAGACCTAATCTACGTTTGATAGGTGTACCTGAATGTGACGAAGAGAATCAATCCAAGCTGGAAAATACGCTTCAGGATAAAACTTTCCCAACCTAGCAAGGCAGGACAATATTCAACTCCAGGAAATACAGAGAACACCACAAAAATATTCCTCAAGAAGACCAACCTCAAGGCACATAATCGCCAGATTCACCAGGGTTGAAATGCAAGAGAAAATACTGAGGGCAGCCAGAGAGAAAGGTCAGGTTACCCATAAAGGGAAGCCTATCAGACTCACAGCAGATCTCTCAGTAGAAACCCTACAAGCCAGAAGAGAGTGGGGGCCAATATTCAACATCCTTAAAGAAAAGAACTTTCAACCCAGAATTTTACATCCAGCCAAACTAAGCTTCATAAGCGAAGGAAAAATAAAATCTTTTGTGAACAAGCAAGCACTCAGAGATTTCATCACCACCAGGCCTGCTTTACAAGAGCTTCTGAAAAAACCACTACAAATAGAAAGGAACAACCAGTATCAGCCTTTCTAAAAAATACCAAAAAATAAAGAACATCAACATAATTAAGAAATTGCATCAACTAATGGGCAAAACAGCCAGCTAACATTAAATGACAGTCTAAATTTAAATCGACTAAATCCCCCAATCCAAAGACACAGACAGGCAAAAAAAGCTAAGACCCATTGGTATGCTACATCCAGATCCATCTCACATGCAAGGATACATAAAGACTCAAAACAAAGGTATGGTGAAAAATTTACCAACCAAATGGAGAGCTAAAATAAATAAATAGAAAGCAGGAGTTGCAATTTTTGCTGATAAAATAGATTTCCATGCAACGAAGATCAAAAGAAGCAAAGAAGGATATTACATAAAGATAAAAGGATCAATGTAACACGAAGAGCTAAAGATCCTAAACATATATGCACCCAACACAGAAATACCCAGATATATAAGACTTACAGGGAGACTTGGACCCCCACACAATAATAGCAGGAGACTTCAACATCAATATTAGATAGATCAATGAGACAGAATGTTAACATCGATATCCAGGACTTGAACTCAGATCTGGAACAAGTAGACTTAATTAACATTCATAGAACTCTCCACTTTAAATACACAAAATATACACTCTTATCAGTACTACATCACACGTATTTACAGGTTTAAATGAAATATTGGTTGGCTGCTTGTTAATTATTTTCTTCCCTCATTATTTTATTTTTTTTATTTATTTTTTTATGTCTCTATTATTAAACACAATTATAGGCATACCCAGTTTTGGACTGCATTCTAGCCCAGGCAATAAAGCAACACCCCTGTTCTCTCTCCCTCTTCCTCTTCCTCTTTCTTCCTTTCCTTTATTCTTTTTCTTTTTATTCTTTTTCTTTCTTTCTCTCCTTCTTCAAAAAAAAAAAATTAATATGAATATTTGCCCTGTTCCTTCTAGAGATTTCAGAGGCAATTTGACCCCAGGCCATGGCATTGGGTAGGAAAGTTAGCCTCTTTGAGGCTCAAATTCTTCATTTATAAAATGTGGCTAGCATAGAGCTACCACATGGGTCATGAAGAGAACTGCAAAGGATAACATGTGTGCTCCTATTCTTTGCATGTGTGGTACGTTGTGGGTGCTCAAGAAATAGAACTTTTCTTCCACTGTGGTTGTGCGTGCCCCAGAAAACCCCAGAAGAGGCCCCAGTGCTGGCACAGCAAGACACTTAGGACCCAAAATCTGGACATGAGACCTGAACAGTGTGACTTTGGTGAGTGGCAGAATTGTTGCACTTGGTAGCATAAGTTGTTTTGGAATTTGATGTAGTTAGAGATATAAAAGGCAATCATCTGACAATCCTATGCTCTCGCGATACACAGCTGAACACGTGGTCCCAGACATCTGCCCCCACAGATGTAACCCACTTCCTGCCTTCCTCTCTCTATCCACCTCTATTCCTTCCCATTCTCCTTCCTCTTTTCATCCTCTCATGTAAATGGAAATCATAGTAACACTCTGAGGTTGTGATGTAGGTCAAAGTAGATGTGTCTAAAAGTGCTTTAACTCTAACATGCTATATAGGAAGTTATGTTTTATTATCTTATTTTTCAGAACAAGAACTATTCTATATGTGTTACATGCCATCAGTTAAGTGCGGGGTTGGTTTATTTGGGATGTTTTGGTTCTGACTGCTGTGCACACTCCAGTCCCTAAGGCAATCAGTAGTATTTTGAGAGCCTCGCTGGCCTCCCTGCATGACTGGGATAGAGACATGATTCTCCCAAGAGGTGACTCTCCTCCTGGAGCATGCTACCTAGATCTGCACAGGTGCGAAGTGGCTCAACTACAAATTAACACCTGGCACTCAGTGTGTCTGCCCTTGTAAGTGTTGGTGTGGGGATTGTATCAGAAACCCTATGTGTTTCCCTTGCCCTGACATACAAGACTTGTCTCTCCAGATTGACAGGTACACACCCCTCTGGCTGAACCTCAGTTTCAACAACTCTGGGAGACCCTTTGAGGTGCCCCCAGGACACCGTTGGGGTTTCAGTAATAGGGTTTCACTTCCCACCCTGATTTGTGAACCTGTTGAGAAATAAGATAAAAGACCAAGTGGTTAGAAGCAAAAATATTACATTCGCCATTGATGAAGTTTAGGTTGGAAGGCCTGACTTGTATCTCTTGGCAAATGGAACCTCAGTTTTAGGTGCAGCCCTTTCATAGGAGTGCTGGGCCAGGGAAAGCTTCCACCTTGGCCAGAGCCTGCCTGAAGGAGCTGAGCAGAGCCTGTGCTCACAGCAGATGAGTACTCCCAGGACGAAGACATGAGGTTCTGAGTCATGCTCCCAGTTTTTCCTCCGAAATTCACCAGGTAGAGAAAGAACTCTGACATGGGCCAGCGCTAGCCAAGAAGTGTTCCTGTCCCACAAAGTCTTCTCAGGGCAAATGTTTATAGAGTGACAAGTTCCCTCAAGAGGGACATCTGGTCACCCTGTAATCTATTCTATTCTGCAGAATAACTAAAACACGCTCTTCCATGCCTTGTCTGGTGTTTACCAAAAACCAAAACTATGTGCTGGCATTCACACCTCCCACCACTGCAGTCACTCCTTCCGTTTACCTAGCATCCAGCACCCACTCACCACCCGCTGTAGTCTGAGGGCACACACAGTATCCTGGCTTGAGCCTGGCATTTCCTTTTAAACTGCTTCAGGGATGCAACCTGCTTCTCTTTTGTTCTTACACAGACAGTTCTGTTGGCAGCTTCCATATCTTTGGACCTCTGTATCATTAAGTATCACACGGCCCCACAACAACAATAAATGGAAAACCTAATCCTCATGTGTGTGTTTTTAAAAGTCCATTCCATTTAAATGAGTCATACCATTAAGTCAACACACAGATTCGCTTTAAACCCTAAGTCACTTACATAAATCCCCAGGGGTTCACTGTGACCCTATATAAGACTTCTTCCTTGTTCTGCAAACTTTCGTTCTTGGATTACACATTTCCACGGATAACTGCCAACTCCTCCCTTTGCCCTCAGTCCTCTGAGTGTGTGTGAGAGAGAGAGAGAGAGAGAGAGAGTGTGTGTGTGTGTGTGTGTGTGTGTGCACGCGCGCAGGCGCAAGCACATGTGTATTTTATGTCAGCATCTTGGTCCTGCAAATAAAAGTCACCTTTCCTGTTTTCTCAGCAACTTGAATCAATTCCAGTTTTCCACTTTCCCATTAGTGTTCGGTGTGTATGCTTTGCTGAATTGGTCAAAGAAGCTTCCCACTCTGCAGAACTTTTGGAAGGCGCCTAAGGTAGAGAGCATTACACTGGGAAAAAACGAAGCTTTCTGATTCTTCAGAGACTCAGCCTCCTCCTTTGAGGACCCAGCTGCTGGTCAGGTGTTTAGAAACCGGCAGGCAGTCTATGCTTTCACGGTCTTTCTCAAAACACTTTATGCTTTCTTCCACTACGTACAACCATCTACATTTTAATGACTTGCTTCTCTTTCTCCTTCCCTGCTCTGTGAATTCCTCCAAGGCAGAAACTCTGTGCTAGCCAGTTATGATGGCTCAAGCCTATAATCCCAGCTACTCAAGAGCCTAATCACTTGAGACCAGGAGTTTGAAACCAGCCTTGGCAACACAATGGAACACTCATCTCTAAAAAAGAAAAAGGGGGAAAAAAGCCTGTGTTCTATTCTTCTTTTGATTCATTTCAGTTAGTTCCTGACTCTTAGTGCGAGCTCAGTTAATATTTGAGAAAAGGTAAAGCAAAAGAAAGAAGCAAGGGAGGCCAGACAGGAGAGAGGTCCCAGCACCCTTGAATATGCTGGCACTCCCTGTAGAAAGCTGGTCCTACCTGTTTCCCTGTGGCCGGCTCCTTCTCTCTCTCTCATTCATATATCCATTCAGCATCACCCCCTCAGAATGTCCTTTCCTGACATCCTCCTTAAAGGAGCCACCACACAGTCATGGTCTATTTTACTTTCCTGTTTTATTTACTTTGTAGCTCTTTGTGATCTGAAATTACTTAATTGTGTGTTTATTTATTGCCTGACTCTCTCCACTATGATGTAAGCTCCATGAAGTACAATAGCTTCAGGATCTTAAATAGTGCTTGGCACATGATAAGTGCCTAACAAGAGTCCATTAAAGCTGGACACAGTGGCTCATGCCTATAATCCCAGCACTTTGGGAGGCCAAGGCCGGTGGATCACCTGAAGTCAGGAGTTTGAGACCAGCCTGATCAATATGGTGAAACTCCATCTCTACTAAAAATACAAAATTAGCCAGGCATGGTGGTGGGTGCCCGTAATCCCAGCTACTTCGGAGGTTGAGGTGGGAGAATTGCTTGAATTTAGGAGGCAGAGGTTGCAGTGAGCCAAGATCGCACCACTGCACTGCAGCCTGGGCAGCAAGAGTGAAACTCAGTCTCAAAAAAAAAAAAAAGTGGGGGGTCAATTGAATGAATAAACAGAGAAAGAGAGGAAGACAGGCAGGCTCCCCTCTCCCTTTTGCCAACTTGAATTGACATCTTAAAATGCAGAACAGACCAAAAAAAAAAAAAAACTGTTTTTCTGTCCTTTGCTGACATGTCCACCTGGCTCTTTAACATGGACTGCAGGGCCCAGAAGACATCTTTACTGGAAGAGCAGTTCAAGATGCAGAACATCGTTAGGAATGTGGTGATCCTTGGGCACAGAGCCCTTCTAGAAATGGTTCCAGCCACTCTACCTGTGTTCACTCTACAGACTGAGCTTCTGAAAGGATGGTGAGGAACATAGGTTTCACAGACACCCACAGGTATTTAAGCAGAGGTGGGGGCTACTGCTGACATATCATGGCACATGGGAACATGTGGCACTACAAGACCTCAGGAGGCCCTGGAGCCAGACTTGGCCAGCCAGGGGGCGGGGGCTGCTGCACTGCTGCTCTTCTAGCTGCACTGTCCTCATCTCTCCTCTGTGCATCTGCTTCCTGCTCTCTCACTGCAGACCTGTGCATGGGAGCCAAATACGGCTGCTCAAGAACCTCACAGGCCCATTTCCCAACTCCACAGGGGAAAATCTGGTGAGTCCAGCTTGGGTTCAATGTCTACATCTTGTCCGCTCAGCTATGAAGGGAAGAGGGTCACACTGCATGGGTGTGGCATCTGGTACAAGGTTCAGAAAAAGGGGTATGTGGTTGGGGATCACCCAAAGACATTTCCCATCTTTACCTTAGTCAACAGATGGTGTGCTCAGACTCCAGTATCTGAGAAGCAGTTTATGGTCATTGCCCTTCAAATGTCCAGATGTTTTCCATTTGTCTTCTCTGTCATTAGCTGACAATCACCTGGCACTGGAAGCATAAAATATAAGAGGCTGCCCTCTGAAATATTTGCTGGGTCACAAAGGGCATTAAACACTTGTTTCCAGTGTTAGGGAAGCTAAAACAGAGGTCGTGGTTCAATGACAGAGAAATGTTTAATGTCTAAATTGGTCTGAGGAAGCCAAATGCTGCAGAAATCCTGTGGGCAGCTTTCCATCTTCCTCTTTCACGAGTGTCAGGGCCTGAGAAAACAACTATTGGAATGTATCCACTTAAGTCCAACCACTTCAACAAAACAAGATAGAATATATTCTGAATGCAATCCAAACACACCTCTCCATGGGTAATTAATGAAGCCAGCTCATGCAGCCTTATGCCTCCTGCAATGACTACTTCTGACTCATTCCATTGGTTTTCTGGCTTTATAGCCCAGGTGTATGTGTTGTAAGGTGACATTAGGTGAGATCATACCCTGTTTGTTTTTTTTTTAATACTTGGTATTTTTCAGCTGAATTTATGTTTAAGAAACTGTTCCTCTGTTGAGGGAAGCTTGTTGATGGACTGGAAGAGAGATAGGAGGAAGAGGGGCATAAAATAATGTGGCTTCAAAGAGAGATGCGGTTCTGCACATTAAAATAAGAAACTGGTTTAACTGTGTACAGAGACACATTTCCAAAGATGATGTCTCCTGTGGAGACATATTCCTACCCTGAGAATATTAGCATATGTAACCTAGTGTGTCCACCACTGAACTGACTTATTGAGAGGTTTGGGGCCAGTTCTGTCTGGTTCCATCTTGCCCAGGTACTATTCCATGAAGACCTTCTAGGTGACCAAGTCTTCAGTCCTGGGGCTTCTCAGTGCCCTGGACCATTGGACGGGTAAGGGTGGATTTTCACATGATATGGGAGGGGCAGAGGGCTGAACAAAGCCCTACGGCACAGGTGGTTGTCTTTGGGCCTGGCTAGTCATCACAGTGACTGCAGGCCATGAGCAGTGTTCACCATAGGCAAATGGGACATCTAATCTATGTCCTTAGGACCAGTGAGGGTCTCCAGGAGTGTGGAGCTAATGGGCTACAGTCCTTGTTTCAGTAGAAGAAAACTATCTCTCCTTCCGTCCTTGGGGTCCTTACCCTCTCCCTGTACCCTGGCCTGTGGAATGCTTAGTCTGGAGAGCAGAGCTCTCTTTGCAATTTTGCAGTTATTCAGCAAGCTGTTTCTGTGTTACACCTGCACTGATGACTTTTGAACTTAAACACTACAAATGTGGCTCTTTAATTCTCTACTTCAAGAGTGACATCCTTCCCCTAAAGCAATGGATGACTCATATCTAATTTTCTGGGCTAGGAGGAAGATCATCAGAGTACAAGTGAAGAAAATCAGAGGACACAAAGCTGGAAGAGGTGTGGTGGGTGAGAACACAGAGTGAATTATTTACAACATTAACCCACTTCATATATAGCATCAGGTATTGTGCCTGTATGTAAGGTTTGTTATTGTGGAGTTGTGTATTCTTAGTCACATGGTTTCTCAGAGGGCTGCAGTACAGACATGTAGACCTCACATGGAGGGGAAAGCAGGAAAACTACTGGACTTGGCTTGGTTCCACAGACTCTGGGCTGAACTGTGGATGTCCTGCTGCAGAGTTGAGCAGAGAACCTGGATCTTGGGATATGTACCAGGGTGGGACAATTCTGAGACATGTTCTATACCAGCTCTGTCCAATAGGAATATACTGAGAGTCACATGTGTAATTTTACATTTCCTAGTAGCCACAGTTTTAAAAAGCAAAATGAAACAGGTGAAATTAATTTTAATATTAATATATTTGTTTAACCTAGTCTATCTAAAATATTATGTCAATGTGGTAAACAACATTGACCAGATGTTTTACATTATATATATACTGTTAGAAATCCAATGTGTATTTTACATTTGGAGTGCAACTCAATTCTTACTAACTACACTTCAAATGCTCAGGGGGCACCAGTGGCTAGTGGCTACCATATTACAGGTGAGGAAAGCTCTATTCTGTTTCTCACAGGTTCCCAGTGAGTTTGAGCCCCAGTTGCCCACAGTGGTAATCTTCTGATGAATGCCCCCATCTATATTTCCTATCCTTCCCTGAAGGCCACCACTCCCTTGCCAATGCTTCCTGGGATCGTCCATCAAATGAACTACTTGCTTTCAACTCCTTGCCTCCAAGTCAGCTTCTGGGAAATCCAACCTAAGACATGATGGTTCTAAGTCCATAAGCACTAAGGGTTCCACGTCTTCTGTTAGTTAACTTGTCATTTTTGAACTTTCTATTATTTTATCATGGAGTAAATACTTGCTAAAAGTTACAGTCGGGTGTATTCTGTATTGTGACAACCCAGGGGAAGGGTCTGCCCATTCTTGAGCCTGAACAGCAAAGGAGAGAACAACGTCCCCTTCCCTCAGGCCAAAGTGGTGGTAGCAGTAGCAGCGCCCAAGGAAATAGCTGTGCTTAGCAGAGGGGTGACCCCTCAAGTGTCAGCAATAGCAATGTGCCTGGGCGACAAGGAGACTGGGGCAGCAGAACACAAAGGACTCATCTTGCTTTCATATAAGATGGCCCTGGGGACCCTCAGATAGGCCAGAGGACAGTTTCCAGTCACCGGACCAAGGGGACGAAGTACTAGTTACCAAAATTTTATGTTTAAAAGGGAATTTAAATTTTTGTAAATATAGATGGTAAGGTCAGGACACCCTGGTCACAAATGCATTCATTCTCTTTTTTGTTTTGTTTTGTTTTGTTTTGTTTTTTGAGACACAGTCTTGCTGTGTCACCTAGGCTGGAATGAAGTGGTACAATCTCCATTCACTGTAATCTTTGCATCCTGGGTTCAAGTGAGTGTCCTATCTTGGCCTCCCGAGTAGCTGGGGCAACAGGTACATGCCATCACACCCGCCTAATTTTTTTGGTGGTTTGGTTTTGTTTTGTTTTGTTTTAGAGACAGGGTTTCACCATTTTGGCCAGGCTGGTCTTGAACTCCTGGCCTCAAGCAATCCATCCACCCACCTCGGCCTCCCAAAGTGCTGGGATTACAGACATGAGCCACCTCGCCTGGCTCCAAGTGAATTAATTCTCAATCTGTTGTTTCAGTCAGGATGACTTCAGAGAATCCTCTGTCCATGCCTCTGAAAACAACAAGAAAAACAATGACCAGCTGAGATGCAGATCAGCTCTGGCACTGTTCATAAATTCTCCTAGAAGAGGTACATTCTAAGGAGCGGGAACATGACTTACAATGATGCCAAACACCACCTGACACATAACACAGCCCTGTGAGGGTGTGGAGCAAAGATGAAACAGCAGTTTCATGTCAGCAAGCACTAAATATTTCTAGAACAAACCTGACCCCAAAATGTCTACATCTACATATATTAACAAAATATTATGTGATTTATTTATCCAGAAACTGGAAATTTCCTTTCTGCTCATTTGTACTTTGTCTCCAATTCTCTTATGCAAAATGGAATACTCTTTTGAGAATCCAGCTGATTATCCAGGCACATTTTCTCCAGAGCTCTCATCTCTCCAAATAAAGGCCAATATATTTCAACCTCCACTAGCCAACATAATAAATGAACAAAATATTACACAGAAGACAAGTCTAACTTTATGGCCTTATTTTTTTTTTTTACCTCCCCAAAACACGTGCCTCATCATCTTTTCCAAAAAGTGAATTTAAAACAATAATACTAACATTTCATTTTGGCTTCCACAGCACACTTCACTAACTCTCTCTAAAGTCACCAGTGACTCCCTATCCTAATACCCAAGGTCTTCGCTTGGTTCTCTTCCTACCTGAATTTTGTGCAGCATTCAACATATTGAACAACCTTTTCTTTGTTCACTCCATTGCAATAAATATTTATTAGTACCTACTATAAGCCAAGCACTGTTGGCTTTTAGACATCCTAAATTACTTTCCAAAGAGCCCCTGATAATATATACACTGAGAGACGCACACTCATCTGCTGAAAGAAGCATACCTAGAAAAAGTACAATGGAATAATTTTTCTCATGAAACAAGAGCAAAATGCTACTCCTATTAAAAGGGGGTTGACATGCTTTTCATTGCTTTAGGAACTACCCATAGTTGAAATAAACAGAAAGATTCTAAGGAACTGCAGGTCATTGACAGAGGTAAACTAATTTTGACAGCAATCCAGATAATTACAAGTGGTTGGTTTAGGGGCTTTAAAGCTGTCACCAAGCAGTTTAAAACATAGGAAGCAAGCTCACTGCCTAGAAGTTGAGGAGCTGCAAATTAATCCCTAAATTTAGCATCCTGATATGGCTGAAAGCAAACTAGGTGCATAGTTGCCCAATCAGAAACACAGAATCAACTCACTTAGCAACAGCAAATTATGTTTCTGCTCAGAAGGTAGGTCAACAGGTACAGGCATTGCCCAGAGGACACTCACCCAGGGAGGAAGTCTGGGGCTGGGTTTCCTCAAGGAAGCATGGTTGAAAGAAGAAACTGCATTGTAGCTGAGAGAACTCAAGGTCATCATCAAGAAGATGGTGCTGACAAGTTTCAGATCTGAAAGATGAATTAATAATGATTCTATGTCTCAAGAATAATGAAATCGTGATCACTACTCATATCTGCTGCCTGTATGGTATATGTAGAAACTAGGCAGTCTCCAGCCTTCACCTCAGTCAATGAGATAAGATGTTGCTCTTTCTCTTTAAATGTCTTTCCCAATATTCCACCTTTACCCCTCTTCTCCTGTTTAAGCTATTTTCCTAGGTGGATGAGGAACCTGGGGCATGGAGCATTTAGGTAACTTGCCTGAACCCGAACAGTGAGTAATAAGACTACAAGAAGAGACTCAAGCCCAAATAAGGGAAGGCTGAAAACTAGAGAATGAGGCGTGAGTCAGAAACCACAGAGAAGGTCAAGATAGAGGATGGGGCGAAGAATGGGATGGTGCAGGTGGGTTAGAGCTAAAACCAGGAGGAACTACAGAACACTGAAAAATTCTCCTCTGGCT